AAAGGAATTTAAACTTTTTCTCCAAAATTTGCGGAATTTTGAAACTTGCAATTTTCAGAAAATTCGAAAATTCTGATTCTTAAAACGTGTATTCTATAATATTCAGTTGTCAAATAGAAATAAGAATTTCCAGGCACTAAAATTTTGAAAACCAAGTTTCTAAAATTCCGAATTTCAAAAAATGGCACCTCACAATTTTGATATTTTTGTTGTTAATTTCAAAATTCGATATTTTTTTCTAAAATTTGCATTAACTGCGGAATAAATCTACACTTTTTTGGGACAAAATACTAAAATTTTATACCTGTGGTCCATAAAAATCTATTATACTAAATAGTGAGGTTCGAATTTCTGAGATATAATTTTTGAACTTCCATGGTTTAACTTTTCAAAATATAACATTTCTCCAATCTCAAACTGCAAAAATAAATATAATAGGAAAAATTTAGATGTCGCAAATTCGAAATTTCTAAATCTGACTACTAAATACAAAAATTAGAAATTTCCAACTCTAGAATAGCCAAATTAAAAAAAATTGGAAACCTTGCATTTTGAGCTATTTTTGTAATTTTGATTCTAGAAACATCTTTTCTAAAATATTCACTCTTGAAAAAAGAATTTTTGAAAATTTGAATTCTGGAAATCCAAGTCCTAAATTTTGGAAACTCTAAATATTCTTTGAGATTCTAATTTTTTAAATGTTAATGCTAAGAATGGAATTTAAACATTTTCTCCAAAATTTGCGGAATTTTGATTCTTGCAATTTTCAGGAAATTCGAAAATTCCAATTGTTAAAACGTGTATTCTACAATATTCAGTTATCAAGTAGAAATAAGAATCTGCAGGCACTAAAATTTTGAAAACCAAGTTTCTAAAATTTTGAATTTGAAAAAATGGCACCTCACAATTTTGATGTAATAGTTTTTAATTTCAAAATTCGATTTTTTTTCCCTAAAATTTGCATTAACTGCGGAATCAATTCCCACTTTATTAGTACAAAAATACTAAAATTTTATACCTGAAGTCTCTGAAAAATCCATTATTACAATAATAACAATTTAAGCGTTCCAAATTCGAAATTATTAAATCTGGTTACTGAGTACAAAAATTTTAAACTTATAGCTACAATTGCCAAACTTTAAAAAAAACCTGGAAACCTTAGATTCTGAGCGATTTTTGTAATTTTTCATTCTTAAATATCCAGTCCTGAAATAATAATTTTTGGAAACTTGAATTTTGGAAATCCTGGTCCTAAATTTTGGAATCTTGAAGAACGGGTCCGAAAAGTTAAAATTTTCAAGACCTAATTTAAAAAACTTGAAAGTTTTTTGCTTCTGCGAGATTTCTAAAACAAAGTTTGTAGATTTAATTTTAAAACTGCTTTAAACTCTAAATATTCGTTGAGATTCATTTATTAAATGCTAGTGTTAAGAATAGAACTTAAATTTTTCTGCAAAATTGACAGAATTTTGAAACTGACTGGATTTTCAGGCAATACGAACATTCTGATTCTAAAAAAAATGCGTTCTAAAATATCAAGTTGAATTTTCAGCCACTAAAATATTGAAAACCAAGATTCCAAATTGTCGAATCTTAAAAGACTGCACTTCACAATTTTGATTTTATAGTTTTTAATTTCAAAATTTGATTTTTTTTTTGACGTTTGCATTAATTGCGAAGTAAATCTCCAATTTATTATGATAAAAGTATTAAAATTTTATGACTGAAGTCTATGAAAATCCCATTATATCAAATACAAAGTTTCCAAATTCTGAGATATTATTTTTGAGCTTCTGTCGCTTAACTTTTCAATACTTCAAATTTTTGTATTTCAAATTACAAAAACAAACACATACAATAATAATAATTTAAAGGTTGCAAATTCGAAATTATTAAATCTGGATACTGAGTACAAAAATTTATAGCTACAAATGCCAAACTTTATAAAACCTGGAAACCTTGAATTCTGAGCGATTTTTGCAATTTTCCATTCCTAAAATATGTTTTATTAAGTATCTAGTCTTGAAATAATAATTTTTGGGAACTTGAATTTTGGAAATCCAAATCCTAAATTTTGGAAACTCTAAAATATCCTTTGAGATTCTAATTTATCAAATGTTAATGTTAAGAATGGAATTTAAACTTTTTCTCCAAAATTTAGGGAATTTTGTAATTTGCAATTTTCAGGAAATTCGAAAATTCTGATTCTTTAAACGTGTATTCTACAATACTCAGTTGTCAAAGAGAAATAAGAATCTCCAGGCACTAAAATTTTGAAAACCAAGTTTCTAATTTCGAATTTCAAAAAATGCTACCTCACAATTTTGATTTTATAGTTTTTAATTTCAAAATTCGATTTTTTTTCTAAAATTTGCATTAATTGCGGAATAAATCTCCACTCTGTTAGGACAAAAATACTAAAATTTTATACCTGTAGTCCATAAACAATCCATTATACCAAATACTGAGGTTCGAAATTCTGAGATATTATTTTTGAACTTCCACGGTTTAACTTTTCAAAATATAACATTTCTCAAATCTCAAATTGCAAAAATAAATATAATAGGAAAAATTTAGACGTCCCAATTTCGAAATTACTAAATTTGATTACTAAAAACAAAAATTTTAAATTTATATCTCTAGAAATGCCAAATTGAAAAAAATTTAAAACCTTGAATTCTGAGCGATTTTTGTAATTTTGATTCTACAAAGATGTTTTCTAAAATATCCACTCTTGAAAAAAGAATTTTTGAGAATTTGAATTTTGGAAATCCAAGTCCTAAATTTTGGAAACTCTGAATATTCTTTGAGACTCTAATTTATCAAATGTTAATGTTAAGAATGGAATTTAAACCTTTTCTGCAAAATTTGCGGAATTTTGAAACTTGCAATTTTCAGGAAATTCGAAAATTCTGATTCTTAAAACGTGTATTCTATAATATTCAGTTGTCAAATAGAAATAAGAATTTCCAGACACTAAAATTTTGAAAACCATGTTTCTAAAATTTCGAATTTCAAAAAATGGCACCTCACAATTTTGATATTTTAGTTGTTAATTTCAAAATTCGATTTTTTTTTTCTAAAATTAATGCAAATTTTTTGCGGAATAAATCTTTACTTTGTTGGGGCAAAAATACTAAAATTTTATACCTGTAGTCCATAAAAAATCCATTATACCAAATAGTGAAGTTCGAAATTCTGAGATATTATTTTTGAACTTCCATGGTTTAACTTTTCAAAATATAAAATTTCTCAAATCTCAAATTTCAAAAATAAATATAATAGGAAAAATTTAGGGGTCGCAAATTCGAATTTACTAAATCTGATTACTAAATACAAACATTTGAAATTTACAGGTCTAGAAACGCCAACTTGAAAAAATTGGAGACCTTGAATTTTGAGCGATTTTTGTAATTTTGATTCTAGAAACATGTTTTCTAAAATATCCACTCTTGAATTTTTGAAATCCAAGTTCGAAATTTTGGAAACTCTAAATATTCTTTGAGAATCTAAACTTTGTCTCCAAAATTTGCAGAACTTTAAAACTGTCTCCAAAATTTGCAGAATGAAAAAAATATATAATCTAAAATTAATTAGTTATTTAGTTTTAAAAAGCTTGTAACGAAGCGAATTTTCGCGGGCCGGAAACCGTGACGGGTACCGCGAAAGCCGGGGGTAAATTGGCGATCGCCGCGCCGCCGCGGCGGAAGAAGAGGACTCTTGCCTGCAACTTCAGAGAGTGCGGAAGTGCTGTGGCGATTGTGGGAATTTTTCTTGTTTTTGGAGAAGTGTGATAAAGTGAGCAGTTCGACCCTCCGACCACCGTAAGTACCTTTTTGGGTCGTCTGCCCGTCTTAGTACCGGTTTTCGAATCGCCGCCCCCGAGCGAGAAACCGTGTCACCGTCACCGCGTTTTTTTTTGTCACCGTCGAAAGTCGACACCGTCGTGCACGCGTCGTTACCGTCACCGCGCTCCCCTCCCGGGTCGCCGTGCCGTTTTCGCGCGATTTCCAGATATCAAGGTCGCCGCCCCCAAAGCCAAGAGGAGCCCGGCCTGAAGGAAGTCGCCGCCCAGGAGAAACGACCGTGCCGGACATTTAATTAATCTTGTTTGTAAAACCGTTTTGTAGTTAGTTAAGTTGTTTAGCCGTAAGATTTATTATTTTAGACCGTGTAGCTGGTGGTAGGGAATAAACCCTATTTTATTGTAAAATATCTCTTGCCGTTTTATTTTATTTATTATTCTCTAGTTTTCGCGGCGGCTCATCACCTGAATTCCGTGTCTCCGACTTTAGAGCACCCCGGCGCTCCCTCCCCCGGAGAGGGAGCTGGCGCCCGAGCTACCGCCGCTCCTGACCGAAGGCGCCACCCCCGGCGGCGTGAAGGTAGCCGCATAAGCTTGGTCGACCAGACGTGTTACTGATATCAGCGATACTAGTCGACCCAAAGCTTGGCACCCAAGTACGCCGCCACCCCATACGTTATCGGCGAGATTCCGGACCGTCCGTCCCTCTCATCCGGAATTTCGTCGCAAGCTTATCTCTACATTATTGTCCTTGATAAGAGATAAAAGATAAGAGATAACATTAGTTCGTCAAAAAGTTATTTTTTAATATTTTAGCACCTTCAAACAATTTTCCAAAAAAGTTGCAATTAAACCGACAAAGACACTTTCGGATCGAGATACACCCAATTTTTTCAACAACAAATAAACAAATTAATACTTTTTTATATTTTCAGTTTTTTCAAAGGATTTAATTTCTATCCAAAAAAACTTGATTCACAGTGAAAACACAATAATAGACGCTCTGATTAAAACAATATAAACAACCTTGAAACCACACACTGCAAGGAATAAAACGCTTTAAGCACAATATAAAAGTCGAAGAAACATTAAACCAGTATCAAACACCATTTTACTCGAAACCTTGGACACTAAACTTACTCTTATCACCGACATTTTCCTTTTTCCACACAACGTCAAAACGCTAATGGAAACCATGTTCAGTGATAACTCGGAAAATAGCACCCATTTAAATAAGAACCCCCTTCTTATAAACCACCAGTACAACATGCAACTTATAATCACTTTGGTACTAGTGGCTCCTTGCCTCTGCATAAACCTCCGTAAGCGCAACCATCAATCCAAAAATTCCCAAAATTTTGAAAATTCTAGCCCACAGTTTCAAAAAATGCACCCTCGAGCAGCCCGATTCGAAGAAATGTGTGAAAGAGGCGGCGGAATACAACGTCCATTTGTTGATTCACCCCTTCAAGGACTTGCATCTTCCAGGGTTGAAACCTTTACTGATCCCTTCCTTGTCGATCGGGTCCGGGAAAAGGGCAGTGGCGGTGGAGCAGCACTTCAACGATTGCAACATCTACGGGTTCGACCATGTGGAATTGGAGAAATTCGAGTAAGGGTTACCCTTTTGGGGACAAATTTTGACTAGGTGTTGTAGGTTTCATTTTGACAAGAAATTCTTGGAGATGGATGCCCATTTCGCGGAGATTACCAAAAAGTGCCACTACCAGCTCAATGGGAGGGTTTTGCTGCTGCCCATTCGGGGCGAAGGGGACAGTACCATTGTTCTGAGTAAGTTCCGATATAAGTGGCTACTTTTAGTACTACTTAGGTATTTGTTTTTAGGGAATATGAAGATCAGTGGGTTTTTGCCATACCAAGAGGTTAAGAGGAGTGGGAAGACTTATCTTAGTTTTGATTCGCACAATGTGACGTTCGATGTAGGTTCTGTCTACTTCCATTTTGATAATTTGTTTAATGGAGATAGAGGGTTGGGGGATAGTTTGAATAAAGTACTGAATGATAATTGGAAGCAGGTTTTTGATGATGTGAAACCTAATTACTCGAAGGTGATGGATGATATTATTCAGTCGCTGTTGAACCAATTCTTTGGAAGAGTGTCTCTGGAAGATGCTTTCAGTACTCAGTGACAAGTGTTTAAAATAACTGTACACACAGGTGTTATTCATTGTTGGAATTAATAAATAGATTATTAATGTTAACAAGTTTTTTCATGGTTGTTAGATCGCTCTTAAAATTTGTGTTTTGATGATTTATGCAAACGTTCGCTTGGTGTTTTAATTAGTGACGTAACCACCTTAACAACGAATTAAAAAAAAATAGAAAAATGTTCAACACAATTTTAAGAGGTGGTTTGCGGATTACGTAATATAATATTAAAGATTTTAATCATTTTTTTTATAGTTTAAGACGTATGAAAATTCAAATACCTGTTCCATGTCGTGCGTAAGTCGCTACAAGTTAATTAACTGACACCATAAAAGGAAAAATATGTACTTTAGTAACATATCAAGACGAACATTTTTTTGGAAAATTTCTAAAAACTTTAATCCTACTTTTCACGATTATTTGAATACATGTGACGACGATTTCGGATTTGTACTTGGCTGCAAATTATCTACAATGTGATAGCATTTTTCAATCGATTGAACTCATTTTAAGCACTTTTTTTGGAAAATTTTGAAATCTTTGTCTCATTTTCCATGATTATTTGACTACATGTCATAACGGCAATTTTGGCTTTGTAGTAGACTGCAAATTATCTACAAACTTTTAGTCGATTGAGCCCATTTTTACCATTTTATTGAAAATTTTTGAAAATTTTAGTCTCACTTTTACGATTAATTATTGAATACATGTAGTGATTACGATTTCAGCTTTGTTATTAGCTGAAAATTATGTATTATTTTACATCAAATCTTCAGTCGTTTGTACGAACCTATTTTAATTATTTTCTGGAAAATATTTTGAAAATTGAAATCTCACTTTTCACGTTTATTTGAATAATTGGCTGAAATTATCTAAAACTTGACACCAATTTTCAGTCGATTGAACCCATTTTAACCATTTTTTGAAAAATTTTGAAAATTTTGAGCTCACTTATCATGATTATTTAAATAAATATAATGATCGTGATTTCGGATTTGTAACTGGCTGAAAATTCTCTACAATTTGACACTAATTTTCAGTGAATTGAACCCCTTTTAATCACTCTTTTGGAAAAATTTTGCCAATTGTAAACTGACTTGTCACATTTTTTTAATACATGTCGTGACGGCGGTTTCAGATTTGCAATTGGCTGAAAATTATCTAAAATTTGACACCAACTTTCAGTCCATTGAACTCATTTGACCACTTTTTTGAAACATTTTTGAAAATTTTAATGTGGCTTTTGCCAATTATTTGAATTGATGTGACCGCGATTTTGGATTTGTAGTTATCGGCAAATTATCCACAATTTAATATCAATTTTCAGTCGCTTGAACACATTTTAACCACTTTTTTGGAAAAATTTTGAAAATTTAAATTTACTTTTCACGTTTGTTTGAAACGATGTCGTGACGATGATTTAGTGCTTGGTATTGACGGAAGATTATATAGAATTTGACAACAATTTTCGTTCGATTAAATTTGTTTTTGGTAATTTTTGGAAAAATTTTGAGAATCTTGGACTTACTTGTCGCGATTAATTGAGTACATGTTGCGATTGCGATTTCGGCTTTGCTTTTAGTTGAATCCACTATTTGACACCAAATTTTCAGCCAATTGAACTCATTCTGGCCATTTTTTTTTGGAAAATTTCTAAAAACTTTAATCCTACTTTTCACGATTATTTGAATACATGTGACGACGATTTCGGATTTGTACTTGGCTGCAAATTATCTACAATGTGATAGCATTTCTCAATCCATTGAACCCATTTTAACAATTTTTTTTTGGAAAATTTTGAAAATTTTTACCTCACTTTCCATAATTATTTGAATTCATGACGTGACGACAATTTTGGCGTTATAGGTGACTGCAAATTATCTACAATTTCATACAAAATTTTAGTCGGTGAAGCTCATTTTTACAATTTTTTTCTGAAAAATTTTTGAAAATTTTAGTCTCAGTTTTTATGATTAATTATTGAATACATGGAGTGATTACGATTTCGGCTTTGTTATTAGCTGAAAATTATGTATTATTTTACATCAAATCTTCAGTCGTTTGTACGAACCTATTTTAATTATTTTCTGGGAAAAATTTTGAAAATTGAAAACTCACTTTTCACGTTTATTTGAATAGATGTCGTGACGGCGAATTCGAATTTGTAATTGGTTGAAAATTATCTACAATTTGACACCAATTTTCGCTCGACTGATCTATTTTAAATATTTTTTTGGAAATTTTTGAAAATTTTAGTCTCAGTTTTCACGATTAATTGCATACATATCTCATTGCTGTTTGAGCTTTGGCTTTAGCTGAAAATTATCTACAATTTGATACCAATTTTCACTCGATCGAACTGATTTTAACCACTTTTTTGGAAAATTTTTGAAAACTTTATTCTCACTTTTTATGATTAATACATGTCATGATTACGATTTCGGCTTCACTATTAGCTGAAAATCATTTATTATTTGACACCAAATTTTCAGTCGATTAAATTCAGTTTAGCAACTTTTTGGAAAACTTTTAAAAATTGTAATCTCACTTTTCACCATTATTTGCAAACAAGCCGTGACTTCGAGTTCGATTTTGTAGTTGGCTGCAAATTATCTACAATTTGATACCAATTTTTAGTCGATTGAACTTGTTTTAACCATTTCTTGGAAAATTATTTTTGAAAATTTTAATTTTACTTCTCATGATTATTTAAATACATGTCTTGACGGCAATGTCGGCTTTATGACTGCCAATTACAAAAATTTGATACCAATTTTCAGCCGATTGAACCCATTTAAACTATTTTTTTTTTGAAGATTTTTGAAAATTTAAATCTTACTTTTAACGATTAATTGAATGTATGGCTTGACTGTGATTTCGCCTCTGCTATTAGCTGAAAATTATCCACTATTTGACATCAAATTTTCAGTGGATTAAATCCGTTTCAAGCAATTTTTTGGAAAAATTTTGAAAATATAATTTTCATGATAATTTGAATTGTGGCGACGTTTCAGAAATTATAATTGCCGAAAGATTCTCTACAATTTGCAACCTTTTTCAATGAATTGCATCCTTTTTGACTATTTTTGGAAAAATTTTGGAAATTGAAAACTCACTATTCACCATTATTTGAATAGATGTTGTGAAGGCGATTTCATATTCGTTATTGGGAGAATTTTAGTCGACTGTGCCCATTCTAGCTACTTTTTGGAAAATTTTTGAAAACTGTAAACTCTTTTTTCACGTTTATTTGAACATATGGCATCACGGCGATTTCGGACTTCATCTACGATTTAGCATCAATTTTCAGTAGATCGAACCCATTTCAACTATTTCTTTTTTTTTGGAAAACTTTTGAAAAATATAATCTTACTTTTCATGTAGATTTGAAGTGATGTCGGATTTGTAATTAACCGGGCGATTCTCTACAATTTGACACCACTTTTCAGTCGATTAAACCCGTTTTCAGTATGTTTTTGGAAAATTTTGGACTTGCTTTTCATGATAATCTGAATAGACGTTGTGATGCCGTTTTGGGAGTTATAATTGGCGGAAAATTCTCCACAATTTGACACCAATTTTCAGTGCATTGAAGCCATTTTGACCATTTTTCGGAAAAATTTTGAAAATTGAGAACTTGCTTTTTACGATTATGTGAACAGATGTCATGAAAACGATTTGTTATTGGGGGGAGGTTATCTGCAATTTGCCACCAATTTTCATTCGATTGAACCCATTTTAACCATTTTTTGGGAAAATTTTGAACTCACCATAGATTATTAATGTTAACAAGTTTTTTCATGGTTGTTAGATCGCTCTTAAAATTTGTGTTTTGATGATTTATGCAAACGTTCGCTTGGTGTTTTAACTAGTGACGTAACCACCTTAACAACGAATTAAAAAAAAATAGAAAAATGTTTAACACATTTTTAAGAGGTGGTTTGCGGATTACGTAATATAATATTAAAGATTTTAATCATTTTTTTTATAGTTTAAGACGTATGAAAATTCAAATACCTGTTCCATGTCGTGCGTAAGTCGCTACAAGTTAATTAACTGACACCATAAAAGGAAAAATATGTACTTTAGTAATATATCAACACGAACATGTTATTTAGATAGTCCGTCAATTGAATTAATCGGAATTAAAAAAACCACCCTATAATAAAAATTAATTTATTTTACTTACGACTAGTAAATTGTCATACAATTATTTTACAACAAATAACCTACATCTACACCAGTCTTACAACCTGACTCATCATTCCAAACAAAACAACAAAAAATCAAACCCGATTCACCAACTCCTCCATTTGTTCTTTCTCCATTCTGTCCGCCTTCTTGAGCGCACTCTCCTTGGTGTTAATCCCCCCGATATAAACATTATTGTACTTGAAGTACTCCTGTATGTCTGCTAGCTTCACTCCGTGCGCCTCGGGGAGCAAAATGTACGCGTAGACCAGCCCGGCTAGTGACGTCACGGCGAAGAACCACTGCAGTCCCGCGACTCCTTTGAACGTGTCCTTCAAGGTGTTGTAGCTCTGGATGGACAAGAACATGATGAGGTAGGCGGAACTGTACACTATGCTGTGGGCAACTCCTCGGATCTCGATGGGGAAGAGTTCGGCGGTCATGGTCCAGGGGATGGATAGGAGGCTCACCATGGAGGTGACCACGTAGAGGAGGATAGCCAGCACGGGGACCCAGGTGAGAGTGGTGACACCTGGAATGAAAGAAAAATCAAGAACATGATTTTTTTTTGTGTATATTTTTTAAATTTCTATTAAAACACCAAATAAATAACTTGAAGTTTCAATAAAACTGGCTATAATTATTTTGAGTAAAAAAGTGAACTAGCAGGTTTTAAACGTTATGCAAATGTGCAACATTTCTGCAATTAATAGAAAAATATATTACGCAACAACCGACTAAAAAGTGAACAAATTCCCAACTTCTTTAATTATAGCTGTACTAAGTTATTCTTTATTCTTTTTGTAACACCTAGTATATTGAAATAAAAAGAAGAGAAGAATTCACGACTGGTGTTAAAACAAAAAATAAAAAAATCTTGTATTATGATTACAATTTTTTTATCCAAAAATCTGGATGTTTTTTATTTATTTTATAGGATTTTAAAACCATTTATTCTGTATAATTTTAAAATTTAGAATCTTGTAATTAAAATTCTGGAATTTAGAATGTTGAAATCCAGAATACTGGAAATTTAAATTCAACAATTTAGAGACTTATAACATAGAATCTTAGAATTTAAAATCTTGGAATCTAGAATTTTAGAATTTGAATTTTGGAATTAAAATTCTGGAATCCAGAAACTTGGTATCGTTAACTCTGAATCTTTAGTTCAGAATCCAGGCATTCAGATCTTGGAATTTATAATCTTGGAACTTAGAATTTTAGAACTTGAAAATCTAAAACTCGGAATTATTCAGAATCTCGGAATCCAGAATCGAGAACCTTAGAATTTAGGAACTTAGAATGTAAAAGCTTAAAATTCAGGATCTAATATTTCAGAACTACAGAACTTAAATCCAGCAATTTAGAAAATTACAACATAGAATCTTAGTATTTTGAATCTTAGAATTTTGGAAAATAGAATGTTCGAAATTTTTCTGAAAATACAACATCTTTAGAAGCTGGAATGCAAAATCTTACAATCTAGAACTTAGATCCTCGCTTCTAGAATCTTGGAATTTGGAATCTCGGACTCTATTACAATCTCAAAATCTACTTGAATCTCAGAATCTAGAATCTAACTAGAATTATGAAATTTAAAATCTTGGAATTTAGATAAAATCTTAAATCTAGACGCTTGGAATTCAAAAACTTCTTTCAATCTTAGAATTTGACAATTTAAAATTTGAAGCATAAAATGTAGTATTACGAATTTTGGATCACAGAATTCAAGAATTTGTTACTTATTAGGATTTGAGTTGTATTTACATTGAGTTAACGAATTTTTCTGAAAACGTCACATTTTTCAAAGCTTAAAATTCGGAATCTAATAATTCAGAACTATAGAACTTAACTCCAAGAATTTAGAAACTTACAACAGAGAATTTTGGTATTTAGAATCTTAGAATCTAGAATTTTAGAATTTAGAATCTTGGAATTAAAATTCTGTAATCTAGAATATTGGAATCCAGAATGGTGGAATCTAGAAACTTGGTATCTTTGACTCTAGAACTTTGGACTTTTGAATTTAGGCATTCAGATCTTGGAATGTATAATCTTGGCATTTAGAATCTTAGAATCTGAAAATCTAATGTTTAGAGCTTAAAGATTTCATTAGTTAAGAATTTTGAATCATAGAATGCAAAAATTTGTGATTTATCCTTTAAGATGTATTTTCTTTGGGTTGATGTATTTTTTCATACTGCAATATTTTTAAAAGCTTAAAATTCTAATCTAATTAAATCTAATAGTTCAAGACGTTATAACAACTTAGAATCCTGGAACTCTCAATCCTGAAAACCAGAATCTAGAATCTTGGAATCCAAAATCTTGAGATGTACAATCCGGGAATCTAGACTACTGAAATCTAGAATCTTAAAATTTAGAATCTCGGGAATCAGAACCGAAGAATTTAGAATCTTGGAATTTGAAAATCTAGAACCTGGGATGTAGTTTTAAAAATGTTAGATAACAGAGTTTGAGAATATGAGACTTAGATTCAAAGATCTGTTGTCTTTTTGAGTTAAAGCAATTTTTTGATAATATAATTTTAAAATTCAAGATCTATTAATATATAACTTACAATCTTGGAATTATTCAGATCTCGGAATCCATAATCTCGGGATCCAGAATCTAAAACCTTAGGATCTAAAACTTGGAATCTTAAACTCTAGAATCTTGAAATCTACCTACTAGAATCTCAGAATCTATGAGAATCTCGAAATCTATTGAATCTCAGAATCTACCAGAATTTCAGAACCCAGAATCCCATTTGAGCTCAGTCAAATTTTGGCTACAGTTTTACTATCTACATAGTATTCGTAAAATAAATACAAAATTTGACAACAATCGGCTTAGTACTTTCGGAGATTATCTGTCTAAAAATCTGGGGTGGTAGACAGACAGACAGACAGACATACAGACGGAAACGGGAGACCTATTTCTTCGTATCTAGGAGTCATGAAATGTCAAGAAAATAAAAATGTTTTTCCTTCTTTCGACATCTTCTTGTACTTTTGAGAGAATAAGTAGTTATATTCTTTAGCTACTTTTTTTCAAATCAGTATATTTTCAAAAATCCCATAATACCACAAACATATTTCTCTTGGTAATTTCTTGTACAGAAATATACCTAGACTTTGCAATTAAGCTCCGCCCTCTGGTCTACACAACCAATAAAAGATTTAACACGATTTCGATCCGGGTGGGTGGGTGGGGCAAAATTTTTTCTGTTTTTTCTTAACATGTATAGTTTTCTTTCAACAACGCGACACTTAAGGCACGTGGTAATTTCTTAAAGAGAAATATTCACTATTCAATTAAGCTCCGCCCTCCGTCTCACAACGAATAAAATACTACACGTAATTGAGATGGAGGTGGGTGGGTGGGGCTTATCCTTTGACTTTCTATCGTAAAATACATAGCCTTCTTTCAACAAGCAAAACCAAATACTGCTTAAAACATCAAATGCAAAATATGAGGTTAGAATTATATCCAGCTGCGTCACCATAGCTGCCAAATTTATCGATTTACGCTACAAATTTACAGAAATGTGAAATTGTCAATATGAAACGTTTTATTTTCGTATAGTTTTTGTCTTCTTTCGATATCTCCTTTTTTTCACTTTGTTTTACCATTTTTTACGTAATTTCTCATACAGAAATATGGAATTTGCAATTAAGGTGCGCCCCTCGATCTGACAACGAATAATAATCTTTGGCTATATTTTTGTCTTAATATACATAATATTCCTCGAACAACACGATACTCAAAAACATGTTTTTATTCCTCGTTGAGAAATAAGGATTTTGCAGTTAAGCTCCGCCCCCTTGGCTCATGACGAATAAAAAAAAATCATCACAATTGAGATAGGGTGGGTGGGTGGGGCTTATATTTTCCCTTTTCTTTATGAATATACATAGCCATCTTTTCACAACAATAATCTTAGAGCATGGTTAAAATGGTACATTTTTGCAAGGAAATATGGATTTTGTAATTATTTGGCGGAACCCAAAACAACAACAACAAAAAGACAAAATGTAAGCCCGCCCACCCGCCCTGTCTCAATTGTGATGATTTTTTTTATTCGCAGTAAACCAAGGGGGCGGAGTTTAACTGGAACATACTTATTTCTTTACAAGATCTTAAAAACATGTTTTTGAGTATCGTATTGTTCAAAGAATACTAAGTTTATTAGAAATAATAGCAATATAAACCCCGCCCACCCACCCCGTCTCAATTGTGATGACTTTTTTTATTCTTAGAAACGTAAAACACGCTTAAAATGGTAAATTTTTGTCAGCAAATATGTATTTTGTAATTAAACCCCACCCCTCGATCTGACAACGAATGAAAAGTTCATCACAATTGAGACGGGGTGGGTGGGTGGGGTTTATATTTTGCCTTTTTTTATTAGTATACATAAAATTCTTTGAACAACACGATACTCAAAAACATGTTTTTAATTTCTCTATAGAAATAAGGATTTTGCAGTTAAGCTCCGCCCCCTTGGCTCATGACGAATAAAAAAAATCATCACAATTGAGATAGGGTGGGTGGGCGGGGCTTATATTTTCCCTTTTCTTTCTGAATATACATAGCCTTCTTTTCACAACAATAATCTTAGAGCATGGTTAAAATGGTACATTTTTGCAAGGAAATATGGATTTTGTAATTATTTGGCGGAGCCCAAAAGAACAACAACAAAAAGACAAAATGAAAGCCAGCCCACCCGCCCTGTCTCAATTGTGATGATTTTTCTTATTCGCCGTGAACCAAGGGGGCGGAGTTTAACTGGAAAATACTTATTTCTTTACAAGAAGTTAAAAATATAGTTTTGAGTATCGTGTTCTTCATATAATACAATGTATATTAAGAAAAAGAAGCAATATAAAACCCCGCCCACCCGCCCTATCTCAAGTGTGATGATTTTTTTATTGTTAGAAACTTAAAACACGGTTAAAATGGTAAATTTTCGTAAGGAATAATAAGGATTTTTGGTGGGTGGGTGGGGCTTATATTTTGCCTTTTTTCTTAAGTCGTCTTTTCGGAACAAGAAACTTAAAATATGTTTAAAATGGTAAATTCTTGAGGAAAACATGGACTTTGCAATTAAGCCCCGCCCCTCGATCTGACAACGAATGAAAAATTCATCACAATTGAGAGTTGAGATTGGACCGGGTATGGGTGGGGCCTAATCTTTGGCTTTATTTTTTTCTTAATATACATAGTATTCTTTGAACAATTCCATACTCAAAAACATGTTTTTAATTTCTCGTAGAGAAATAAGGATTTTGCAGTTAAGCTCCGCCCTCTTGGCTCACGACGAATAAAAAAAACATCATCACAATTGAGATAGGGTGGGTGGGCGGGGCTACATTTTACCAGGAAGAATGATTGTGCTACATCAATGCAAAAATGCATTAATTATATGGTAGTGCCCCATAAATCACACTCATCCCACTACGACAATAAACCACCCACACCACGCTCCTAATTACCTCACGCACCTTCCAATCTACATAATAACCCAGAACACTAATTACGCAACAACGACGATCCGTTTCAGGGTTAGCAACAATGACGCAACCCAAAGGTCAGAAGCTACTAATTGACAATGAATCGATTGCAACGACTTCACCTTGGCGCCACTTGCATCCAAATAACTACCTTCTTTGATCCAGTGGGTGTACAGCCCAGAGACGAACATGCAAACGGCCATCGCGGCTGACCCATAGATAATCAGGGTTCTTCGACAAAAAGTCTTCAGCATGTAGGTGTTAACGATGGACATGAAGAAGCGAACTCCCCCGATGAGGATGGACACGAAGTAGGGGTCCATGCCGCTGTGCACCTCCTGAAACAGGAACGAATTAGTACCATCGACACACTAACAAATTAAAGAAGAAGAGACAGACCTGGAAGAAAGTGATGGAATAAAACAAGGTAATATAAATGCCTGAAAACTGCTGGAAGACGAACAATCCCAGGAGGATCAGCAGCGGCTTGTACCCCGTGGGTTTCAAGAACTCTTTGGCCCTCTCCGCCATGCCTCCTTTCATCCGGAGTTTTTCTTTATCTTCGTGTTCTTTCAAGAGGTACTCGAACTGCAGCTGCGCGAAAGTTTGGGTTTTGTTCTGGGGTTGCGGCTGGTACTTGTTGAACCAGTTCAAGGACTTTTTGGCCTGGTCGTTCCTGCCTTTACTGACCAACCAGGCCGGGCTTTCCGGGATGAACATGACCAGGACGAAGGGCACCACTGCGTAGACGTTACACACCCATGCCACCGTCCTCCAATGCAACATCCACCCTTGGAAGTACGCCAGAACTACCCCCAGGGAGGTGTACGCTGGGGCAAAGGACATGAGCGAGCCTCGCATATCCGCTCTAGCGATTTCCGTGATGTAGACCATAGCGGGGCTGGTGCCCCAGGCTAAAACCAATCAACAACATAGTCACTGTTGCCCCAATTCTTAATCACCACTCACCAGCCGCAAACCCCGTGATTATCCTCCCGATGATCATCATCATCACGCTTTTCGACGTCGCTATGATAATCCACCCCACGACCGCTGGTATCATGGCCAGTTTGATGGTATTCAAGCGACCCATGCCGTCCATCAAGAACCCACACGTCATCCCGCTGACGGGGATCGTGATCGTGATCACACTGGCTATCCATGAGCCTTGAGCTTTGGTGATTTTGAGATCGGAGCTTTCTTCCTCGAGCTGGGGCAAGAGGATGGCGGAGTACGCTAGTGAGATTCCTACGACGACGTGGAAGAGAGCGGAAATGGCGGACGCCATCATCTGCAAGAAGTAGACATGAGGAGGCGGTTTGGGGGCGGCGGTACTCACCTGGGGGAGGAGTGTCTTGAACCTTTTGCTCTCATAGCGACTAAGCGAGCCGGCACTACCCAAGGTTTCGTTGAATTTGTTTTCGCGCTCTCGTTCCTCGCGGATTCTCCTTTCATTTTCTTGGAGGCTGTGGAATTGGGAGTTATTTATTATCAAGGGTCACTGGGGTCAAGGCGGGGTTTTTATCACTCGTAATCTGTTAATCTGAGGAAAACACCTGTGTTTTTTTGTTTTGGTTGTTTTTGTCGATTGAGAAGGAATTTTGTATCACACAACTTGGGAAAAACACACTTTGCTTTTTTAATAAAAAACACAAATTTTACAATTTTCGTAATTCTATTGTGACACCTGGATTACGCAGTCGGATATTCACCTAATATACGGCTTAACGACCTTTAAATCTTAATTATCTTATAAAAGCGCAAATATTTTCGTAGCAACACTTATCTGATTACGTTTTCTCATTATAAAGTTGTAAAATAGTGATTTTTATAAAGCAATAAAAAATTTCTAGGTATAAAAACAACCGTTAAATAAAAATAATCACTATAAACAAATCCGTTCCTTGAGTCGTACTTGCATAAGGTGCAAAGGTCGCCCGACGTGACTAAGTCGCTTTACCTTTTTTACGAATCAATGTCATGTGTTCGATGATTTCATGCTAACTAGATTCAAGAATGACGATTGTATTTAACTGTTTTTCACAAAACACTTCAAGATAAGATATGTGTTTTTACACATATTGAATTAAACGGTCGTATTTTGCGGGTGTTGCGACGCTCGCCTGCGGCTCGCCCGGCAAACTTCGCCTCCCGAGTAGGCGCCACCGTTATAGCTGATTTCGCTTTCTACTCGTTTCTTTAACCTGAAGTTTCCAAGGTAAAAGAAGTGAATCAATTTCGTGGTAATACACCGTAAGCGTGCATTCATTTTAATTCTAGCTACGTTTCAGAGAACATTCTTGTATTATTCAGACTATATTTACTATGAAAAACAGATGTCAGTGTGTCAGGGTCACACTCGGAAAATGTGGGCCCCTGACAAGAGAAATAACACGTTTTGTTTAATGATAGTTATTTTTTTTTATAATAGAAAGTGAATTTTATTTAAGATTTCGTTGGATTTTTTTCAGTGTCACACAGATTTGTGCAGATTTCTTCAAAGAATTTTGATTTTTTTTAAATACTAAGTGTCGTGTCCTATTTTTAGTTTTTTGATTTTTCAGTGTTGCGATATTTAATATTTTTTTTTTAATTTTCGATTTGTCGACTTTCCAATTTTTCAAATTTTCTATTTTTCCATTTTTTACATTTTTCAATTTCTCGATTTTAACAATTTTTCAATATTTCAGTTGGGATTTCAATTTTTCGATTCTTCAGTTTCTCGATTTTTTATATTTTCGATTTTGTGTTTTTCTGACTTTTGGTTTTTTTGATTTTCCCATTTCTCGATGTTTCGATTTCTCGACTTCTCAATTTTTCAGTTTTTCCGTTTTTTATCTTTCAATTTTTGGGTTTTTTTAAATTTTCGATTTTTCCATTCCACGATTTTTCTTTGATTATTCGTATTTCTCGTGTTTTTATTTTTTCAACTTTTTTAATTTTAGATTTTTCGATTAATCAATTTTTAGAAATTTCAATTTTGGGATTTTTCAATTTTTCAGTTCGTCGATTTTCCTTTGATTCTTCTATGGTTTCAAATTCTCGGTTTTTTACTCTTTCGATTTTTTTTTGTTTTTAGATTTTTTGATTTTTTTATGTCTCCATTTCTCGATTTTTCAGTTTTGCGATATTTTTATTTTTCGATTTTTTTTATTTTAGATCTTTCGATTTTCCAGTTCTTAAAATTTTTTACTTTTCCATTTTTAAAATTTTTCAATCTCTCGATTTTCAATTTTTCATTATTTCAGTTTGGGATTTCAATTTTTCGATTCTTGAGTTTCTCGATTTTTTATATTTTCGATTTTGTGTTTTTTTGATTTTTGCCTTTCTGATTTTCCTATTTCTCGATGTTTCAATTTCTCGACTTCTCAATTTTTCAGTTTTTCCGTTTTTTTTATCTTTCAATTTTTGGATTTTTTTAATTTTTCGATTTTTCAATTCCACGATTTTTCTTTGATTATTCCTATTTCGCGTGTATTTATTTCTTCAGCTTTTTTAATTTTAGATTTTTTGATTTTTCAATTTTTAGAAATTTCAATTTTGGGATTTTTCAATTTTTCAGTTCTCCAATTTTCCTTTGATTCTTCTATGGTTTCAAATTCTCGGTTTTTTACTCTTTCGATTTTTTTTGTTTTTTGTTTTTTTGATTTTTTTATGTCTCCATTTCTCGATTTTTCAGTTTTGCGATATTTTTATTTTTCGATTCTTTTTTTATTTCAGATCTTTCGTTTTTCCAGTTCTTCAAATTTTTTACTTTTCCTTTTTTAAAATTTTTCAATTTCTCGATTATCAATTTTTCATTATTTCAGTTTGGGATTTCAATTTTTCGATTCTTCAGTTTCTCGATTTTTTATATTTTCGTTTTTGTGTTTTTTTGATTTTTGCTTTTTTTGATTTTCCGATTTCTCGACTTCTCAATTTTTCAGTTTTTCCGTTTTTTTTATCTTTCAATTTTTGGATTTTTTAAATTTTCGATTTTTTAATTCCACGATTTTTCTTCGATTATTCGTATTTCTCGTGTTTTTATTTTTTCAGCTTTTTTAATTTTAGATTTTTCGATTTCTCAATTTTTAGAAATTTCAATTTTGGGATTTTTCAATTCTTCAATTTTCCTTTGATTCTTCTATGATTTCAAATTCTCGGTTTTTTTACCATTTCGATTTTTTTTTTGATGCTTCCATTCCTCGGTTTTTCAGTTTTGCGATATTTTAATTTTTCGATTTTTTTTTATTTTAGATCTTTCGATTTTCCAGTTCTTAAAATTTTTTACTTTTCCATTTTTAAAATTTTTCAATCTCTCGATTTTCAATTTTTCATTATTTCAGTTTGGGATTTCAATTTTTCGATTCTTCAGTTTCTCGATATTTTATATTTTCGATTTTGTGTTTTTTTGATTTTTGCTTTTTTGATTTTCCTATTTCTCGATGTTTCAATTTCTCGACTTCTCAATTTTGCAGTTTTTCCGTTTTTTTATCTTTCAATTTTTGGATTTTTTTAATTTTTCGATTTTTCAATTCCACGATTTTTCTTTGATTATTCCTATTTCGCGTGTTTTTATTTCTTCAGCTTTTTTAATTTTAGATTTTTTGATTTTTCAATTTTTAGAAATTTCAATTTTGGGATTTTTCAATTTTTCAGTTCTCCAATTTTCCTTTGATTCTTCTATGGTTTCAAATTCTCGGTTTTTTACTCTTTCGATTTTTTTTGAATTTTGATTTTTGATTTTTTAATGTTTCCATTTTTCGATTTTTCAGTTTTGCGATATTTTAATTTTTCGATTCTTTTTTTATTTCAGATCTATCGATTTTCCAGTTCTTCAAATTTTTTACTTTTCCATTTTTAAAATTTTTCAAAATCTCGATTTTCAATTTTTCATTATTTCAGTTTGGCATTTCATTTTTTCGATTCTTCAGTTTCTCGATTTTTTATATTTTCGATTTTGTGTTTTTTCGATTTTTGCTGTTTTTGATTTTCCTATTTCTCGATGTTTCGATTTCTCGACTTCTCAATTTTTCAGTTTTTCCGTTTTTTTTTAATTTTGCAATTTTTGGATTTTTTTAAATTTTCGATTTTTCATTTCCAGTATTTTTTCTTTGATTATTCGTATTTCTCGTGTTTTTATTTTTTCAGCTTTTTTAATTTTAGATTTTTTGATTTCTCAATTTTTAGGAATTTCAATTTTGGGATTTTTCAATTTTTCAGACCTTCAATTTCTCTTCTATAGTTTGAAATTCTCGGTTTATTACTGTTTCCATTTTTTTTAGTTTTTTGATTTTTTCATGTTTCCATTTCTCGATTTTTCAATTTTGCGATATTTTAATTTTTCGATTTGTTTTTATTTTAAACTTTTCGATTTTCCAGTTCTTCAAATTTTCTATTTTTCCATTTTTAAAATTTTTCAATCTCTCGATTTTCAATTTTTCATAATTTCAGTTTGGCATTTCATTTTTTCGATTCTTCAGTTTCTCGATTTTTTATATTTTCGATTTTGTGTTTTTTCGATTTTTGCTGTTTTTGATTTTCCTATTTCTCGATGTTTCGATTTCTCGACTTCTCAATTTTTCAGTTTTTCCGTTTTTTTTAATTTTTCAATTTTTGGATTTTTTTAAATTTTCGATTTTTCATTTCCAGTATTTTTTCTTTGATTATTCGTATTTCTCGTGTTTTTATTTTTTCAGCTTTTTTAATTTTAGATTTTTTGATTTCTCAACTTTTAGGAATTTCAATTTTGGGATTTTTCAATTTTTCAGACCTTCAATTTCTCTTCTATAGTTTGAAATTCTCGGTTTATTACTGTTTCCATTTTTTTTAGTTTTTTGATTTTTTCATGTTTCCATTTCTCGATTTTTCAATTTTGCGATATTTTAATTTTTCGATTTGTTTTTATTTTAAACTTTTCGATTTTCCAGTTCTTCAAATTTTCTATTTTTCCATTTTTAAAATTTTTCAATCTCTCGATTTTCAATTTTTCATAATTTCAGTTTGGGATTTCAATTTTTCGATTCTTCAGTTTCCCGATTTTTTTATATTTTCGATTTTGTGTTGTTTTGATTTTCCGATTTCTCCATGTTTCGATTTCTCGACTTCTAAATTTTTTAGTTTTTCCGTTTTTTTCTTTCAATTTTTGGATTTTTTTAAATTTTCGATTTTTCATTTCCAGTATTTTTTCTTTGATTATTCGTATTTCTCGTGTTTTTATTTTTTCAGCTTTTTTAATTTTAGATTTTTTGATTTCTCAACTTTTAGGAATTTCAATTTTGGGATTTTTCAATTTTTCAGACCTTCAATTTCTCTTCTATAGTTTGAAATTCTCGGTTTATTACTGTTTCCATTTTTTTTAGTTTTTTGATTTTTTCATGTTTCCATTTCTCGATTTTTCAATTTTGCGATATTTTAATTTTTCGATTTGTTTTTATTTTAAACTTTTCGATTTTCCAGTTCTTCAAATTTTCTATTTTTCCATTTTTAAAATTTTTCAATCTCTCGATTTTCAATTTTTCATAATTTCAGTTTGGGATTTCAATTTTTCGATTCTTCAGTTTCCCGATTTTTTTATATTTTCGATTTTGTGTTGTTTTGATTTTCCGATTTCTCCATGTTTCGATTTCTCGACTTCTAAATTTTTTAGTTTTTCCGTTTTTTTCTTTCAATTTTTGGATTTTTTTAAATTTTCGATTTTTCAGTTCCACGATTTTTCTTTGATTATTCGTATTTGTCGTGTTTTTATTTTTTCAGCTTTTTTAATTTTAGATTTTTCGATTCCCAATTTTTAGAAATTTCAATTTTTCAGTTCGATTTTTCTTTGATTTCTATGGTTTCAAATTCTCGGTTTTTTTACTGTTTCGATTTTTCTTAGTTTATTAATTTTTGCTGTTTCCATTTATCGATTTTTCAGTTTTGCGATATTTTAATTTTTCGATTCTCTTTTTATTTTAAATCTTTCGATTTTCCAGTCCTTCAAATTTTCTATTTTTTCATTTTTAAAATTTTTTAATTTCTCGATTTTCAATTTTTCATTATTTTAGTTAGGTTAGATTAGGTCAAGTCAGGTTAAAACCTGAAAGCATCAATTAATTGTTAAATGTCATAAAACGCGAATGTCAAGTTAAGTCAGATCAGATGAAGCCAAGTCAACTTAAGTCAGGTCAAATAAGGTAAAGTGAGGTTAGGTTAAGTCAAATTCGGTTAGGTCAAGTCAAGTTAGGTGTAGTCAAGTCAGATGAAGTCCCGTAAATATCAATTATCAACCATTAAATGTCAAAAAACACAAATGTCAAGTTAAGTCAAAGCAGATTAAGTCAAATCAGATGAGGTAGGGTGACTAACATCTGTTAAATGTCAAAAAACTCAAAGGATAAGCCATGTCATATTAAGTCCCGAAAACGTTAATATTATCAACTATTTTGTAACAAATCTCAACAAACATAATTGTCAAGTCAAATCAGGTTGGATCAAATCAAGTCAGATCATTTTAAAGTGTCAATTAACAACGGTTTAATCTCAAAAAAATCCGAATGTCAGATTCAGTCAAAAAAGATAAATAAAATCAGGGCAGATCAAGTCAAATTAGGCGAAAATATCAGGTTAATTCAGGTTAAATCCCAAAAAGATCAGTCCCCTCTTAAATGTCAAAAAACGCTCATAAAATGTCAAATTAAGTTAGAACAGATGACTTCAAGTCATATCAAGTCAGGTCACATAAGGGTAACGTTGCAAAAAACCCGAGTGTGAAATCACGTCAAATTAGGTCTCGAAGTCGTCATTTATCAACTGATAAACCTTATAAATTACAACATAAAAGTTAGGTTATATCAAGCTAAGTTAGTTGAAGTCAAGTCAGATAAACTCTCGAAAGTAAGAGTCAACTTTATTATGAACATATGAACTCAAGTCAGGTCAGGTCATTAACAACGGTTAAATCTCAAAAACACAAATGTCAAATTACGTCAGGGCAGATGAAGTCATGTCAAATCAGGTCAGGTAAAATCAAATTGGGTCTCGAGCCGGTCATTTATCAGATCTTAAATCTTATAACACAAAAGTCAGGTTACGTCAAGTCAGGTGAGGTCAAGTCAGATGAAATCCCGTAAATATCATTGTCAAATCACTTCAAATAAAGTAAAGTCAAATTAGGCCTCAAAATCGTCATTTATCAACTGATAAATCTAAAAATTTATAACACAAAAGTCAAATTAGGTCAAGTTAAGTTAGGTGAAGTCAAATCACATGAACTTTCGAAAGTATCGGTTATCAACTATTAAATGCCAAAAAACTCAAATGCCAAGTTAGGTCAAGGCATATGAATTCAAGTCAGGTCAGGTCATTAACAACGTTAAATCTCAAAAACACAAATGTCAAATTACGTCAGGGCAGATGAAGTCAAGTCAAATCAGGTCAGATAAAGTCAAATTGGGTCTCGAGCCGGTCATTTATCAAATCTTAAATCTTATAACACAAAAGTCAGGTTACGTCAAGTTAGAACAAGTCAAGTCAGGTGAGGTCAAGTCAGATGAAGTCCCGTAAATATCAATTATCAACCATTAAATGTCAAAAAACACAAATCTCAAGTTACGTCAAAGCAGATGAAGTCAAATCAGATGAGGTGAGGTGACTAACATCTAATGTCAAATTAGGACCCGTAAACGTCAATGTTATCAACTGTTATGTTATAAATCTCAACATACACAATTGTCAAGTTAAATCACGAATGTCAAATCACTTCAAATAAAGTAAAGTCAAATTAGGTCCCAAAATCGTCATTTATCAACTGATAAATCTTATAATTTACAACATAAAAGTTAGGTTATGTCAAGCTAAGTTAGGTAAAGTCAAGTCAGATGAACTCTCGAAAGTATCAATTGTCAACTTTTAAATGTCAATTCACACAAATGCCAAGTCGGGTCAAGGCAGATGAACTCAAGTCAGGTCAGGTCATTAAATATATCAAAAAAACCCAAGTCAAATACGATAAAGTCAGGTCGCGTCATGTCAAATTAGGCCCCAAAAGCGTCAGTTATCAACTGTTAAAATCTCAAAAAACACAAATGTCAAGTTAAGTCAATGCAGATGAAGTCAGGTCAGAGGAGATAAGATCATTAACATCAGTCAAATCTCAAAAAACTTAAAAATCAGGTTAGATCAAGTCAAGTCAAGTTAGGTTAAGTCAGGTTAAATCCTGAAAGCATCAGTCTACTCAAATCGCTCAAAAAATGTCAAGTTAAGTTAGGAGGGATGACGTTAAGTCATATCAGGTCAGGTCAAATAAGGTAACGTTCCAAAAAGCCCGAATATCAAATCACATCAAATACAGTAAAGTCAAATTAGGTCTCGAAATCGTCATTTATCAACTGATCAATCTTACAAATTAACACAAAGTCAGGTTAGGTCAAGTTAGATCAAATCAAAATAGGCGAAGTCAAGTCAGATGAAGGCCCGTAAGTATCAACTACCAACCACAAATCTGTTAAATCTCAAAAAATTCGAAGATTAAGTCAAATTAGGACTCGAAATCGTCAGTGTTATCAACTGTTATAAATCTCAAAAAACGCAATTGTCAATAGGTCACGTTAGATCAAATCAAGTTAGATCAGGTCAATTCAGGTTAAACCCCAAGTGTCAATTACCAACGGATTAATCTTAAAAAAAAAACTGTTAAAATCAGTTGAGGTCAAGTCAAATTAGGTCCCGAAAGCGTCAATTAACAACTGTTGAATCTAAAAAAACCCAAATAAGGTGGGATAAGGTAAAGTCAGGTGAGGCCAGATAATCAACAACTAACAAATCTCAAAAAACGTGGATGTAATCTCAAAAAACTGAAAAGTCAGGTTAGATCAAGTCAAATCAGATCAGGTTGTCAAATTAAATCCAAAATGCATTAATCTACTCTTAAATGTCGAAAAACGCTCAAAAAATGTCAGGTTAGGTCTGATAAGGTAACGTCCAAAAAAAACCAGAATGTCAAATCACGTCAAATAAAGTAAAGTCAAATCAGGTCCCGAACTCGCCATTTATCAATTGATAAATCTTATAAGTCATCTTACTTCAAGTGAAGTCAAACCATGTCAAGTCAGGCTGATTTCGTAAAGCATCAACTGTTAAATGTCAAAAAAACACAAAAGGCTAGTTAACTCAGAGAAGATCAAGTCAAGTCAAAGGAGGACACATCTGGCTGACAGTTAAAAATTATAGTTTCAGATTTAACCTAACTTGACTTGCCTTGATCTAGTTTCAATTAACCGGGCTTTTGAATATTTTGGGACTTAACTGAGTTGATGAATGACATTTTCGGGACCTAATTGACTTGACATTCGGGTTTTTTGACATTGGACACTTGATATTTGATGCCTCCGGAACTTGATCTATAAGAATTACATAACAAAAATCTAACAGAGTTATAATCCGCAGTTATATTGCTGTTATGTTTATGTTACGCAACAAAATTGTAACAGTTTGCTTGACATTACAAAAAATGTAACATTACAGTTATATAATAAATTTATCAGTATAAGAATGTTATATAACACTGTCATGATGATGTTATGTTGCAGTTACATAACACTGTTATAGTGCAGCTGCATTACACAAGTGTAACTGTATTATATATACTACATAACGTTATGTAAATAGTAGTTTAAATATTTTAACTTGACAGTACTAAAATCGGTGTTTAAATCCAAAATGACTTTCGAGTTTTTTTGAGACTTAACAATTGAGAATTGACGCTTTCGAGACTTAATTTGACTCGAGCTGCCCAGATATGACCTTGAAAAAGTAGAGAAGCCCCACTACGTAACACGGCACCATATGACATAATCGCTACTGAAGGACGCAACGAGCGCTCTAAGTCGAGCGAAGCTCGCGACTCATTTCACAGCACACTTGATCACAAAAGTGGCAGCAACTCACCAACAATCCCGCAGCATGATTAACACGTTCCACTAGCTAAATTCAAACTAAATCCAGACGAAAAAAAACTGTGTAACAAAAAGAACAAATACAATAAACGAATTGCCGGATTAGCATAACGCGCAAACAAATAGGGCCGTAAAACCGCAGTTTAGGTGCCACAAAAGCGCAAAAAGTCTTATCATTATCAGACTTCGCCTCGACAAAGCGAAAACAGTCCGAAAAAAACTATCGCGACAAACGCAAAAAACGCGCTCCAAAAATAAAACCCGAACGTAAATATTTGCAACTAGATCACGCCCTTGGACTTTTTCCACCGAAAAGTGCCAAGTTGAGTGAACTTCAGATGCACTCCGAGTGCATTTTCGCGGAACGAAGTGTGTCAAAACAACCACAAACCAATTGGAGTAATCACCAATTTTAATTAGTGGATAAGCGACCCTAATTTAAATTTAGTTTTCGAGAAACAAGTAAGTACTCACTTCAAACTGTAGCAGCTACCTCTGCAAAAAACGAAAAAATTAGTCGAGTTAATCAGCAAGCCGAGGGGGCTAAAAGCGAAACTCACCCAACGGTGTCCATTTTTCGGCCAGCTAGTCTCAGCTGTCAACAAAATCGTGTAAGTGTGTCAGTCGAAAGGTCGCTGGTGCAAAGAAAAAATTTTTTGCTTACCGGTTTTCGGGAAAAAGCGGACGCATGTGTACACTGGCGAAGTCGTTTGCACAATACGCGAATCCGCTCACTCGCGCGAAATTAGCTAATGGTTCTTTTCATTCTCGTCTCGATCATTTATCGCAGACGGTATTATCTTCGATGATTGTTCCAAGATAAGACTTCAATAACGCGGCTGCGACGCGAAACTGTGACTCATTTCGAGTTATCGCTGGAAGAGGAAGTCGCGGGCTTGCGGAAAGTTTTTCTGGCAGGGGCGGCTTGGAAATGTTGGCCCACGTGGGCCCCCCACCGGCCGCTCTCGATTTTTTTCGGTCGGAGTTTTCGCAAATTTATATGACTGCGCCGGGATCGCGGATTGCGTCAGAATTTTCGAGTGCTTTCTCTCGGTTGAGCGGAATTTGAACAAGTGGTTCATCCCGTGGGTGTGGAGAGGGAAAATCGTGGCCGATTGATATGCTAATTCGAAATTTATACTGTTATGAAATAGTGTTCGAAATAGCTTCAATGAGAAATCCTTGGGAAACGTTTTTCGCGTTTGGGTCAGAAAGCGTGAATTATCGACGTTAAGGCGCAAAAACGCAAATGTAAGGTTAAGATCTGAAAGCGTCAGTTAAAAACTGACCTAAAATGCAGATCAATAACAACTGTCAACTCCAACACAAATGTCAAGTTAAGTCAGGTCAAATCAAGTCAGCGACTAAAAACTGTTAAATCGCAAAGATCAGATCAGGTCAAGTCATTTTATATACAGAAAACGTCAAATATAACGTTTCTGAATCAAGTTAAGTCATCAGTTATCAACTGATCCGAAAGCGTCATTTGACAACAGTTAAATCTCAAAAAGACGGAATATCAACTCAGACCAAGTCAGGGCAGGTCAATTAAGGTTAGGTCAAATCAAGTCAGAATGCATTCCGCAAAGGTCAGTTAACAAATATTAAATCCTAAAATGCTCAAATATCAAGTTGAGTAACATCAAATCAGATCAAACCTGGTCAAATTAAGTCGAGTCAGGTTAGGTTGGGTCCCGAAAGCGTCAAGTCAGATCAAACCAGGTCAAGTCAAGTCAACTTATTTAAGGTCAAGTCAAGTCAGATCTCGACAGTATCGTTAAACAACTATTAAATCTCAAAATACCCTAATGTCAAGTCAGATCGTCAGGTCAGTTCAAGTCATTTTATGTCGCGAAAGCGTTAAATGACGGTTAATTCTCAAAAAATCCAGTTTAGGTTCCGAAAGCGTCAATTGACAATTGTTTAAACCCAAAAAACCCAATATCAGGTTCGGTCAGGCCAAATGAAGTTAAGTCAGACTAAGTTCTCCAAACAACTGTCAAATCTCAAAAAGCCGAAATTTCAAGTCACGTCAACTTATGTAAGGTCAAGTCAAATCAGATTGAGTTCCGAAAGCGTCGATTAACACCGGTCATTTTATGGCCTAAAAGCGTCAAATAACGGTTTCTGAATCTCAAAAATCCTGTCAAGTCAGATCAAGTTAAGTCATCAGCGCCAATTGATAACTGTCAAATCTCAAAAACCGAAGTTTTAGGTCAAGTCAACTAAGGTTAAGTTAAGTCAAACGTCAAGTTAGGTAACACCAAGTCAATTCAAGTCAGATCAGATCAGATCAATTAAATCAGATCAGATCCCGTTAAGTTTAATTCAAGTAAAGCCGGGTTAAGTCAAATAAGATCTCGACAGTATCGTTTAACAACTGTTAAATCTCAAAATACCCTAATGTCAAGTCATATCAAGTCAGGTCAGTTCAAGTCATATTATGTCGCCAAAGCGTTAAATAACGGTTAAATCTCAAAATACCTGAATGTCAAGTCAGGTCAATGTAAGCCATTTTATGTCTCAAAAGCGTTAAATGACGGTTAAATCTCAAAATTTCAGGTCAGATCAAGTCAGTTTAGATTCCGAAAGCGTCAATTGACAACTGTCAAATCTCAAAAAACCCAGTATCAGTTTCGGTCAGGCCGAATGAAGTTAAGTCAGATTAAAATCTCGACAGTATCGTTTAACAACTGTTAAATCTCAAAATACCCTAATGTCAAGTCATATCAAGTCAAGTCAGTTCAAGTAATTTGATTTCGCGAAGGCGTTAATTAATAGTTAAATCTCAAAATACCTAAATCTCAAGTTAGCTCAATTCAAGTCATTTTATCTCCCGAAGGCGTTAAATAGCGGTTAAATCTCAAAAATTCCAAATGTCAGGTCAGATCACAGCGTCAATTGACAATCGTTAAAACTCGAGAAACCCAATATCAAGTTCGGTCAGGCCGACTGAAGTTAAGTCAGACTAGGTTCTCAAATCAAATGTCAAATCTCAAAAAAACCGAACTAAACAGGTCAAATCAACGAAGACTAGGTTAACTCAAGACAGTTTGTATTCCGGAAGCGTTAATTAACAACTGTTAATTAATTCCCAACTATCAAGTTAAGTCACATCAGTTCAATTCAAGTTAGGTCAGAGCATGTCAAGTAAGGTGTCAACTGTGTCATTTAAAACGTATTAAATCTCAAAATACTCAAATGGCAAATCGGATCAAGTCAGATGAGGTGCAGAAAGCGTCAATTAACAACTGTTAAATCTTAAAATATCCTAATGTCATGTCAGATGAAGTCACTTCAATCCAAGTCATCTTATGTCAGGAAAGCGTTAAATAACAGCCAAATCTCAAAATACCTAAATGTCAAGTGAGGTGAATTCAAGTCTTTTTATGTCCCGAAAGCGTTAAATGACCGTTAAATCTCAAAAATTAAAAATGTCAGAGGTCAGATCACAGCGTCAATTGACAATTGTTAAAACTCGAGGAACCCAATATGAGGTTCGGTCAGGCCGGATGAAGTTAAGTCAGACTAGGTTCTCAAAACAACTGTCAAATCTCAAAAAACCGAAATATCAAGTCACATCTAGTCAGATCAGTTCAAGTCATTTTATATCGCGAAACCGTTAAATAACGGTTAAATCTCAAAATACCTGAATGTCAAGTCAGGTTAATTTGAGTCATTTTATGTCTCGAAGACGTTAAATGACGGTTAATTCTCAAAAAATCCAAATGTCAAGTCAGATCAAGTCAGTTTAGGTTCCGAAAGCGTCAATTGACAATTGTTAAAACCCAAAAAACCCAACATCAAGTTAAGTCAGGCCAGATGAAGTTAAGTCAGAGTAGGTTCTCAAAACAACTGTCAAATCTCAAAAACCCGAAATAACAGGTCAAATTAACGGAGCTTAGGCCAACTCAAGTCAGATTGGATTCCGGAAGCCTTAATTAACAACTGTTAATTCTCAAAATTCCCAACCGTCAAGTTAAGTCACATCAGTTCAATTCAAGTCAGGCCGGATCAAGTCAAATAAGGTCTCGACACTGTCAATTAACAAGCGTTAAATCTCAAAATACCCAAATGACCGGTCAGATCAAGTCAGGTTAGGTGCAGAAAGTGTCAATTAACAATTATTAATTCACGAAATACCCCAATGTCAAGTCAGATCAAGTCATTTTATCTCCCGAAAGCATTAAATGACGGTTAAATCACAAAAATTCCAAATGTCAGGTCATGTCAAGTCAATTTAGTATTCGAAAGCGTCAGTTGATAATTGTTCAAACACAAAAAACCTAACATCAAGTTAAGTCAGGCCAGATGAAGTTAAGTCAGACTAGGTTCTCAAAACAACTGTCAAATCTCAAAAAATTGAAATATTAAGTCACGTCAACTAATGTAAGGTCAAGTCAAATCCGATTGGCTTCCGAAAGCGTCGATTAACACCAGTTCAATTCAAATAAGGCCAGATTAAGTCAAATCAGATCTCGACAGTATCGTTGAACAAATGTTAAATCTCAAAATACCCCAATGTCAAGTCAGATCGGTTCAAGTTATTTTCCGTTGTGAAAGTGTTAATTAATAGTTAAATCTCAAAATACCTAAATGTCAAGTCAGGTCAATTCAAATCATTGTATGTTATGAAAGCGTTAAATGATGGTCAAATCTCAAAAAATCCAAATGTCAAGTCCGATCAAGTCAGTTTAGGTTCCGACACCGTTAATTGACAACTGTCAAATCTCAAAAAACCGAAATAACACGTCAAAGCAACTAATATGATAATCAGTTCAATTTAAGTCAGGCCAGATCAAGTCAAGTAAGGTCTCGACTGTGTCACTTAAAACGTGTTAAATCTCAAAATACCCAAATGGCAATCAGATCAAGTCAGGTTAGGTGCAAAAAGCGTCAATTAACAACTATTAAATCTCAAAATATCCAAATGTCAAGTCAGGTCCATTCAAGTCATTTTATGTCAGAAAAGCGTTAAATAACAGCCAAATTTCAAAATACCTAAATTTCAAGTCAGGTCACTTCAAGTCATTCTATGTCCCGAAAGCGTTAAATAACGGTTAAATCTCAAAAATTCCAAATGTCAGATCAGATCCAGTCAATTTAGGCTCCGAAAGCGACAATTGTTAATTGTTAAAACCATTAAAAACCCAATATCAGGTTCGGTTGGGCCAGGTGAAGTTAAGTCAGACTAGGTTCTCAAAACAACTGTCAAATGTCAAAAACCGAAATATTAAGTCACGTCAACTTATGTAAGAACAAGTCAAATCAAATTGAGTTGCGAAAGCGTCGATTAACATCAGTTCAATTCAAATAAGGCCAGGTTAAGTCAATTAAGATTTCGACAGAATCGTACCCAAATGTCAAGTCATATCAAATCAGGTCAGTTCAAGTCATTTTATATCACGAAAGCCTTAAATAACGGTTAAGTCTCAAAATACCTAAATGTCAAGTTAGGTCAATTTAAGTCATTGTATGTCCCGAAGGCGTTATTTAACGGTTAAATCTCAAAAATGCCAAATCTCAGGTCAGATCAAGTCAGTTTAGGTTCCAACAGTGTCAGTTGACAATTGTTAAAACCCAAAAAATCCAATATCACGTTAAGTCAGGCCGGATGAAGTTAACTCAGACTAGGTTCTCAAAAAAACTTCAATTCTCAAAAAACCGCAATAACAGGTCAAATCAACGAAGCTTAGGTCAACTCAAGTCAGATTGGATTCCGGAAGAGTTAATTAACAACTATTAATTAATTCCCAACTATCAAGTTAAGTCACATCAGTTCAATTCAAGTCAGGCCAGATCAAGTCAAGTAAGGTCTCAACTGTGTCATTTAAAACGTAATAAATCTCAAAATACCCAAATGGCAAATCGAATCAAGTCAGATGAGGTGCAGAAAGCGTCAATTAACAACCGTTAAATCTCAAAATATCCTAATGTCAAGTCAGATCAAGTCAGTTT